GCTTGGTTTTAAGTCTCCAACTTGGGCTCCGGTATTGAAATATAGAAGTAACTCCTTCTACAGCCGCAGTTCAGTTGGACTTATCACTCACAGCTTTTTTCATTGTCCCTAGAAACAATAGATTAGATTCAGTTGGGTTAGCTTGCAGTTGGCTGACCTAGGCAATTATATGAGTTCTACTTTGGAATGTCGAGGAAGTCCTCTTCAATACGCAAAAGCGTAAGCGGTGAGGGTTTTGGTGGTTTCTTGATGAATGATGGATTTTTAAGCGGAGCTTTTAATTTCATGTCAGAAATACACCCGGAGACCTTGAGACTGGGCTGTCTGGCTTAAAAGTGCAAGATGAACCCTTGTTGTACAGCCATTCATCTGGAATCTAGGAATATCATGCACTGTCTACTTTTGACTCAACATTCTCAGTGTTGTAATGAGAATTATCTATATAAGAGAAGATCAGCTTGACTTCGAAATTTCTGTTAAAAAGCATATCTACGGAAATTTCTTTTTGGGGTCTCAGCCTTTTCTACATCTTTTTCACTGACGGAGCAGGAAGAGCGCGCCAAACGTTTCTGTTTTCCACTGCTTGGTGGAAATACTCAGTGAATACAGGTCCTTCTTCTGCTGATCTTTCCAATGGAGTGCAAGTCTTTCTTTTCTTCCACTTCCACCGGCAGGAACTCCAGAGAATTATTTCAAAGCCAAAGTATTTTCGTCCATCTGGACAACATGATTTAGTCAGCGTAGCCGCTGTCTCTTGATTTGCTTAACAATATTTATCATTCTATCGTCTGTGGAATTCGCCATACCCAGTTTTGCAAAAATTCATAAATTCTCCCCAAAACCCTTCTCTGGAAGATTCGCAAAGTTAATATTGTACACTGGATGTTGTCATCGCTCATGGTAGGACGGAAATTATGAACGACTTGTAGAATTGGTCTTTGTTTGCCCAGAGTAGGAGTAGCAGCTGTTGGAAAGAGTATTTCTTGTTTGGATTTCAATTTTGATATTTTTTTTTTTGATTTTTTGGTATTGAGCTTGTTCCTGGAAAGACAAAATTATCGACGATGTCTGTTGAGAGTGTCGAAGAAGCCGTGACTAAGCTGACCGACTGTTCAATGAAGGGAGATATTTCGAATATTTCGGTTTGCGTTCACACTACCAGACTCTAGGAGAGGGAAAGCAGAACTAACAGCATGGCTGTAGAGGTCGAAAATGTCTATAACATCGGCAACACCAGCAGTTATGCGTCTTTTTAGAATATTATACCATCTCTCGTTAGCTCTGCAGCTTAAAGAGAGCCTTCTTATGGTGACGACGGATTCAAAAATTCTCACAGAAAGCGCCAGATACAACCTTATATGTGATAAAAGGAGGCTTGTTTTACAATAATTGGGATTTTAATTCAAAAATCTGAAGAGGTGTTCCCTACAAAAACTCATTATATTCTAAACGTCGGTCGTCAGAATACGTCTTTGGGTCCTACATGAGAATAAGGAGTCTACGGCAGAAGAATTCGACATCATATGAAGTCTATATCATATTGTCACAAAACCATCAGTGGGATTCGTAAAAAAAAGTCATTTTAATTAGCTAACCTTTGTGCTATATTTCAAATAACCTGCGATTTTTAGAATATTTTTAAATAAAAATAATTTACACGAACGATAAGTTCAATATAACATTCAAAATAATTTAGGAAGTGAAAATTCGTAATGCAAATAGCTTAAACGAAATCGAATAACTCATTAACTTTGGCACTCGTGTGTGAATGAGACCCCAAAAAAAATGAAAATAATCAGTTTCATTTCATTTGTCAATCAATCTCATATAAACTATAAAACTAATCTATCATTAATTCGGTCATTATTTGACTAACATACAACTGTGAGAAAAAAATTACGAAAATCAATTGTCAAATTATATAATTACAATGACATTAAAGAGATAAACACAAGCTGAGCTTATGAACTCGTGCTAAAATTTATGGTTGGCTCCACAAATAGAACGGTACCGCACGTCAGTCATTCAATCAACAACGCATACTCACACAAAATACAAATGCTGCCATCACTTTTGTCAAATCAATTTTTTTTAATTTAATTTTGATTATCTTGTATTATTTTGTTTATACGATTTCATTGACTGCACATGAACAAAAACCAATGGCAGCTCAGACGACCACAAAAAGAGTGAAAGAAAAATATTCATAAAATGAAACTGAAATCAAATCGAGTATTGAAAATGAAAATTGAAATTAAAATGAAAATTAAAATTAAACAGACAGCTGGATTATAACGCTATAACTGAACTTAAGCGCGAAAGCGAAAAAAGGTAAAAGTTTATTATAATATTAAAATTAGCGTGATATTTATAAAAATTATGAGTTGAGGCAACTCCCATACAAGTCTGGTGGTACACATGCTCTTAATAAAAGCGGATTTGTAATTACATAATAAGTGGAGAATATGCACATATAATGTAAATAAAATACTAATTTTATTATTAAAATTTTTGCTTATAATTAACGTGTACGAGGGAAGTTCAATAAGTATGTGACTTTTGGAATTTAGCGCGCAGTAAAAGTTAAATGCAACACTGTTCACGTTAGCTGTCATAAATTGACTGATGACATGTGAAAGTTTGGGCGCCATTTATTTTATGTGAACTCCCTGTTATGTTTACAAAAATTCAAAGTTGTGAACTCCCTGTGATCTTCACTATCAATTTCAATGGTAAAGAAGGCATTCACTGAGTTTTACTGTGGTCATAACAGCACATCATCGATAAATCCATGGAATTATATTGGTCCATCAAATGAGCGGGTAAACCATATTTTACATGAAAATTTAAACATGAAAAAGCTGTTCCTGCAAGGGCTGCAATGCTTTTTCACACTCAACCATAAGCTCAATTACGTGACCACTTAAAGGAGCGGTTGGTAATGTTCTGTCACAAACCTATCAAATTTTTGCGCCGTTCCCTTGCTATCGACGAAACTTCGGTTAATTTCGTCACATTGAAAACCAAGCAGCAATCGAAAAATACCTTCTTCTTCGCTTCAATGTGCACTAAAGATATTTAAGATCGTTCTGTCGACCAAAAAGGTTTTAGCTTCAATTTTTCGGTATGCTCGAGTTGTTTTCAGACTCAGCAAGCATCTTCGTGACACTAGTACTATGATTGGAAAGTCTTTAGAACACTAATGAATGACCATGACATCTCTGTAATGTGAATTTTTTGGTAACAAAAAAAGGTATTGAGTTTGTCCAAATCGATAGTATATATTCGCAAGCGCGACAAACCAAGTTCTGGAGTGTTTCACTTGCAGTTTAAGCGAATAACTCAGAACAAATGGAAATTAATATCTAATTGCAAGTTTTTGAGGTTTATTTGACCCAATAATGGCCGAATAATGCATACATATGTAGACTAAAACCCGCACTAACGAGTCTGTGGCTCTGTAAAAGGCATGAAACTTAAATGGAGCTGCCCTCTAGTATCCTATATATGGATATGATGTGTTCGTTATTTCTACGGCGGGTCAGAGTTGCTAAAGCCCTATTTTTTGGCATAATCTTCATCTTCAAAACATTTGTGTCCGTCTCGCCAATACATTTACCATGAACGACAAGCATGGTGGACATATTGATGACGGATGACCATTCAATGTCGACTTAGTCCGAAAATCACTTATCAGAGTTAAACTGCATTGATTTTCCGTGCTGATTTAAATTCCACTTCCGAAATGTAAACACAATGTGTCTATAAAAAATTAATGCAGGAGTTTTATTATTTTTATTTTTTTTTTTATTACTATTATATTCACCTTAATATTTTATTATTTTTTTTTTTTGTTACTACCTATATTTTGCAATGAGATACCAGTTTCATTCAGAGAATAGGAGCTCACGTAAGAAGTAAACAAGCTTTGGCGGGCGAATAGATCCTGGGAGCCAAAGCTTACAAAATTTTTACTTGCACTAAAGAGCCCGAATTGCAGGCTTTTGGTAGAATTTTTAACGGGGCACTACGTTTTGGGGTAGCATTCTTTTAATGTAGTTCTGATAAAGGGCAACGAAAGCCGGAATTATAGGGAATGTGTGAAGACAGACAAGGGCTATGCTTATTTGGCGAAGATACACTGCAGTACCTTCTATCGGAAATGAATAAAAGGCCAAACGAATAATTAAATTTGTGAAAGGAACAGCAATGTTTTTCAAGCTAAAGGAACAATAAAGAGTGCAACAGTTCGGCATGGTCGTTTGTAGTGTATCTGGAAACGTTATTGACGTAATATCGTCTAAGTGAGACCATCAGGGTCAGCCAAGATATTATAAAATTTCAGTCTAATGGTTCGAAGTTTTTATTCCTTTGATTTTTTTTAGAAGATTATCAATTCCTAATCATCACACTTGTATTTTGTTTTGTTCATAAAATATTTATAGGTCAACCGGTATTTTTAGTACTTTCCACGTTGTTATATTTTGTAGTTCCCCTTCGCTACTGAAGTACGCCGGTTAACAAACATTATCTTGCCTATTCTGAGAACGCTAGTAAGAATGGTTTAAGGCTCCGATATACAAGTTTGTAAAGTTTCAAATTGACCGGTTTATAGTTACAACAAAGAATACATTTTCAGCTTTCGCTTCCGAATATTTTTGTCTTCTCATTCTTACACTCTTATGTACGTAAATATTTATTTTATTTCAGCATCCGCGCCCACAACAAGTTTACAACTAAGTGTACATATGTATGTAACTCCCTGCAACTACCAACTCTCTAACCTAGCCAAGCAACATGTTGACAAAATTAACAACAACAACAACAACAACAACAAATATCGCCGCAACACAAACAAGTTGAATGAGATGAGTACATCCGCAAAACATTAGCCAGCCAGCAGACAAACGATTTTGTGCTACCAACAAGTTCTGCCTCATATTGGATGGCTGCCGAAGTCAACAGCAACAAAGCGAACAATTAATAAAAAGCTAAAGTCAAGCTTAAACTGAGCACAGTGTCAACGCAGCGCGAACGACAGTAACAACGCGCACGGTGAACTAACAAACAAAGTCAACGGTGACTTGATTTTACGAACGGTAATATAAATAAAAACAGTTGTTTTGTTTTCAAATTTATTTGAAAAAAAAAAAAAAAATGAAGGCCCACTTTTTTGCAACTCTGCTCTGCATGGGCATAGTTTTTTGCACGATTGAAGCAAAATTAGAGGAAAAATTTTCGTGGAAACAATTGGAGTTTGAATGGCCAAGTGAAGAAGCTGAAAAAGAAGCCACCAGCAAGGGTCAATATGTACCGGAAAATAATTTACCATTAGGCTTGGAGCGTTGGAATAACAAATTATTTGTCACTGTGCCAAGGTAAAGTGTAAAACAAAAAAATTAAAAGAAAAAATACAAAGTGAAATCACAAAAAAAAATGTACAAATAACATTGATCCTCTAAATATGCATACATATGGATGTATAAACAATGACGCATCAGAAACTTACTGGTGTAATAAATTTAAAAAACAACAAACTGCTTTAGAACAAATTTCGACAATCACCATGTACACAAACTAGTTTTAGTTGCAGTTATAGCGTTAATTTTGTGAAATCATGCGCTGATTAACATTTAATAAGTTTCATTAATTGTTAGAAAAAGCTCAATTACTTTCTGCACATTTCAAACAGGTGCAGCTATAATTAGCATGACTAAAGACGTGTTTTTTTTCAACTCTTATTGTAATCATGTTTTTATATACAATTATGTACATACATACATACGCTAAATGTTTGGCGAACTCATTGATATACATGAACCTAATAATTTATGCAAAGAAGTAAATGAAAGCCACAAACAAAGACTAACTAGTTTCTCTATTACCGGTTTTTTTGTCATAGATATATTTTGTCAAGTTCATGATAAACACAAGTAGCGAGAACTGCACACAAATAGTTTTTTTTTCTACTTACACTGCTCCTATGTACAATATATATGTATACTAAATAGAGTGGTAACCGCAACTCTTTCATTTTTTATTAGTACAAACAGCCAGAAAATTCGTTTAAACAAACCGTAAGTTAAATTTTTTTTTTGTAAATGACATTTTAAATAACACGTTTGCAGAGAAATTTCACTACATACGACAAATTTCCTATTACTTGTCCTTGATAAGCCACAAACTGGATTTTACATTATGCCTATCTATTAACAGCAGAGAGCATACATTTTGCTTAGCAAATATGCATAAATATATTATTGACCCACTATATGTAGATGGAAAGATTTTGAATTAGTTTATGATGTTTAGCGCATGGATATTTAGAACACACAACAGCATGACTTTCACATTTTGTATTTATACGCAGTACTCTCACGTCTTGATATGCGCACTTTATTTCGCTACAAAGATACTCATTTATATTTTTTTGAACGTTTGTTGCACTTATTTCATAACATTGTATTAATTATATCACTACTTATTCATAAGATTTTATATTTTTCACCAAATGTGCATCTTTTCGACGCTGCGCGCACTTTTATTAAACTGTCACATAATGCTGGTATAAGACTATTTTCCATACGCTTCCGTTTTGCGCAACTAGCACACACGCACGGATATCCGTTGCAGAATGTACTAAAGTTTTGAATTGCAAAAAAGTTGTTTGCTGTTTATTTTTTTGACAAAATGTCTGCTTCCACCTGCGAAATTACTTTTAAAAAAATTATTTTTTTTTCAAAAAAAGTCGTCTTATTTAATATTTACACTTTATTTTTTTCACAAAATCATTGCTTAGTGCTGTACTTTTTAAAAGATTTTCATTGTTAACACTTAAGGTCCAGTGAATTAAATCAAGTGGACGTGTTTTCCAACTCAATTTGCTGTCAAAAAATGTTAATTTCTCTTGTGAACACTCAAAAAGGAATTTCGCTAACCTTTTCGTTATTTTTCGGAATTCGCTTTCGGAAGTAAAACTTACAAAGCTTGACTTCAACTAAAATATGCAGTCAGACAAAGCAAGGAAAATACTTATTCAACAGTTTATGTCTTCAGAAAATGATCTTTTTCGTATTTGGAACCGAATACTAGTATTGAAAGTCCTTTTCTTGAGTAAATGATCTCGAATAGTAAAATTACAAAGCATGAATTTAACTTTTTCTTCTATATAAAATATTAATAGTAAAGAAATTTATTTTTATTACTGATGTGTAAATTTTTGCCGAACACTTAGAAATAACATAACCTAGCAAAGGTAAGAAAAGTGTTTTTAATAAAAAAATTTTCCGCTAAATACTTTTAAGCTTTCATCCAGTTATTATATAGCAGCAGTTGTCATAAGGAAAAAAGCATACACACATTTTAAAGTTAAAAAAGTTATTTCAGAAAGCATCTGCAATAAAATTTTTTCGAAAATAAAAATTCCCTTTACTTTATTACACTAACTTTGCATGCAGAGTGCAGAGTGCAGAGTGTATAATTGCATTTTTCTCATTGGTCAAAATGCTACATGGAAAACCACAGGTACAAGGCAACTAATGAAGAAGAACTAGCTATAGATTGATAGCCCACAATTTGTAGTTCCATTCGGGAGAAAATTTGATCGCTTCCGAGTCTCTGATGTTCTGAAATGCCCTATCGAGTAAAAGTCCTCGATGGAGCTTCATTCTGTTCCCTTCGAATTAAATTTCCCCCTTTTGATTATTGAATTTTTGATACACTCTGTTTCGAAAGCATATGCTAAAATGGACGATAGTTAGAACATTATATTCGAAAGCAAACGGAGTTCGGCGTAAACGTTACTTTTTATGATATTAATAAAAATGTGTATATTCATTATAATTAACAAATCATTTTTAAATGCACAAAGAATGAAGCAACCAAGCACAAAAAACCCAAATTTTGACTCCATAAATTTAGTACAGCAAGGAGCATAGTAATTGGTTAAATCACACATTCGCGTAGTGTTAGTGCCACTTCCGATATATGTATGTATGTATGAACTTATGTATGTAATTTAACACGTGCCTAGAGCACTTTTGAAATACAGAGCTAGTGTTCATCTCTTTTTGAAACCAAATCATAATTATAAAAAAGAATTTAAAGTATTATTTTAATAAGTTATTGTATAAAAATGACAATAAATATTTGCAAGTCATTGCAACGGTTGCACAAATTTAAAGTAAACTGATGATTACTTGCATTCATACTTAACTGCACAAACATTTATAATATGTATGTAAATGTATGTATGTCGTTAAAAAGCTTATTTACGCAGACAGTTCATTAGTGACCACCCCCCGGCGTCACTCACAAAACTCACTTTCCAAATGTTGCTACGCCTTTTTGGCAAATCATTGGGTTTTGTTTCTGTGTTTATATGTATGTCTGCCGATATATACATGTAGCCAATGTCTCTGCCAATAAATGAACAAATTTGAACAATTGTCAACTATTTGATTTGTGTCGCTTGTAACAACATTATTACAATATTATTTGTAGGTATAATTTCATGTTAAACGGTATGTTAAATTCCCAATTGTCATTGTGTCAACACAAAAGGGATCTGTGCAATTCAGTGTAATATTAGCTAATTGCAAAAAAAGAAAATTGTGTTTGACCCATTTTGCCCTTGGCTATAGTTACTCAACGGTTATGTTGTACATACATACATATATACACACATAACTATAAGTACTTAACCTCTACTTGAGTTGAAGGAACGTTCACATAGTCTGGTTGCCAACTAACTCACTAATAGTAATTTGATTTTCATGGTTTTGTTGTACCGCGCTTGTGGAAATTTGTTGCTGTTGCTCATCGTCCTCATTCAATTGCAACATTCTAAGCGTAATTATGCAAACTAGTTTTTGCCAAAGATTTTGCAAGCGATTCTTACGGTCAATGATTTACTGTAGCGCACCACATAAATAACGCTAAATATATGTATATATAGTAGGTATGTATGTATCTAGGCTTTATTGGTTTGTATTCTTTTTTTATTTCGGCAGAAATTGTAATTTATCTGTTTGGCAGCTCTCATCTGTTGGTCAACTCGATTGCCGCATGTAATCATCAAGCGATTTGCGGTTAATTTGTAGTGACTTTGAGATTTTTTTTGTGTACTATTGAGAAACTGCTGATTGGAAACGTGATTTATTTGCGTAAAAATATGTGTAAATGTATTTATTTAACGTTTTATATAATTACTTCTCATTGGTTTTTGAAAATATATATACCTATGTATTTCCATCAGATAGAGTGGGTATTGTAATTTGTATTTATTAATATCTTCTAAAAGATAGAATATGCATTGCATTAAAGCTGCCGAATACAACTTCCGGCTCTTAATGCAACATTGTTGCCTTATTTTCCCTTTAATTCTCGAATTTCCCAGTCACCCTGTATTTAGTGGCATCACTTTAATATCCAGTTTTATTTGAATCAAATAAAAAATATTATTACTTTAAGTTAATAGGTACTGCTTAAAAATTAACTACATATGTACATATATTTTTCGAAAAATATATATTAATTTTATAATTTATTGAATCTTACCACAAAGACTCGAAGAATAGACTAAAAAAGCCTGCTTCGTAACTAGCTAAAAAACAGAAGTCAGGATGTTAGGATATTTCCGGAATTTTAGTTGTGTTTGTTTGTTAAGGCGCCTGTTGTTGTAACTGTAAATACACCAAAAACTCATTGAGCAAATACACTTAAAAACATGTATTTATATTTCCCTCAATAGATGGAAAGCGGGTGTTGCTGCCACACTAAATTATATCGATCTTAACACTGACCAGAAATCACCGAAATTACGTCCATACCCCAGTTGGGAAACAAATACATTGCCTATCGAAGTTGCCCCACAAGACGCTAAAACTCCATCTGGCGGACGTTTAGATGCCGACAAGCCGCAATCTACTGAAACCGAGCTAAAGGATAATGCAACCATTATTTCAACTTTCCGCATACAAGTAGATGCCTGCGATCGTTTGTGGGTTTTGGATACTGGTCTTGCAGATATATTAGGCAATCCTAAGCAAATTACACCCAACTCTATTGTTATCTTCGATTTGAAAAAAGACAAACTTGTAAGACGTTTCAACATACCCAAAGATCAAACAAAAGACGATAGTTTCTTTGCAAATATTGTGAGTATTCATCACATTTTCACTAATTTTTACTAATAATTATTGTATGCATAAAAACTTATCATCTAGGTAATCGACTCCGAGCGCAACGAATGCGATGACGCTTACGCTTATGTACCAGATCTGGGTGCTTACGGTCTCATTGTTTACTCCTTCCGTGATGATCGCTCATATCGCGTCAAACACAATTTCTTCCATTTCGATCCACTACAAGGTGATTTCAATGTTGGCGGCGTCAATTTCCAATGGACGGATGGTGTTTTCGGTCTTGCCGTTGGTCCACTTAAAGCTGATCACACAAAAGATATATATTTCCATGCTTTGGCCAGCACTAAGGAGTTCAAAGTGTCGAATCGTGTTCTACAAAACGAAACACATGTAACAAGTCCAGCCGCTTATTATGATTTCAAATTTGTTGGTGATCGTGGCATGAATGGACAATCAACTACAGAGGTTTATGATAAGGATACGGATGTTATATTCTATACCCAAGTGAATAAGGATGCAATTGCCTGTTGGAATGTGAAACGTCCATATGATTTGGAGTCGCAGGGTCTTATTGATTCCGACTCGCATACACTTGTTTTTCCCAATGACATGAAAGTTGACAATGAGGGTAATGTGTGGGTATTGTCCGATAAGATGCCTACATACTTATACAAAGAATTGGATCCTTCGGCAGTAAACTATCGTATTTTGAGTGGCAACAATCGTGATTTGATCAAGGGTACACCTTGTGAGAATTAAGGATGGAAAAGTGTTGCTTTTTTATTTTCAACTGCATGCTAAAACAATTTACATACTTAAGTACATACTAACGCAAAGCACTTATCTTTGCACTCTAGATTTTAAGTTACTATTATGCGCAAATTTCTTTGTTTACAAATTGTTTACGTACACATATTGTGATTTCATGAATGAAAAATACATCTATTAAAATTGTTTTTAAATTTTTGTTGTTTGGAATATTTGAAAAAGTTTTCAAACAAAGGTGATAATGATAGGCATTGATATTCGTCTATATAATACGAACGATATGAATTTATTTCTGAATAAATATTGTTGTGGCATTTTCAAAAGTTTTCACAAAAGCCTTTTACATGCGTGAAATATCGATAGGCAAGCAAATCTATATTTAATGTATTTGTTGCTGTACTTAATATTTAATATAAATGCGTAGCACCTCTAAAATAGTTTAGATATCATCGTTAAGTAAATTGCCAGCCAATTCCACTTTTTCGCCAGGTTTAAAAGCAGGCATACCCAAATAAGGACATGTTGAACAACGGAAGGCATCACCCAAGTAACACTAGAAAAAATCCATTAGTTTTTTTTCTTTTTCTTACACACTTTTCTTACACTTCCGCAACTTGATTTAGCATTTGCAGTGTCTGCTTTAGCCTTTTGTGCTGCCTCCGTCTCCAGCTCTTCTGCCAAGCCACATGAACAATTTTTACAAGCTTTTCTTTTGCCCGTGGTGCCACAAACTGATCATAAAAGGTGTGATATATTTAATACAATTAAAAGTTGTATCAGAATCATCTTGCGTTATACGAATACACACCTCTTAAGCTCTCTGGGTCAGGCTTTTTCTTATCCTCTTCATCCAACAAGTCATCTTCGTCGATTAACTCTTCATCGCCGTCACCATTCACTTTCCATATGGAAGCTGTTTTTCCATCCTTCTTGGCAAACGATAGCTTAATTGCTGACCCTGTCTCATAATTGGGTTTTTGACATGTCAATGTACCATCATCTTTATTGACATTCACGTTTATGAAACCGGATAATTTTAGCTCTTGCTGAAATACTTCTGGTGTACCGAAAATACTGGCTAAATGTAGCTTTCCATTCGGCTTCAACAAAAGCAACAACTTATCAAAAGCATCTGTCAGCTGTGCGTTTTCAATGACAATGAGATCGAATATAGATTCCCCATAAGTGGCTATCGAAAATTTAACAAAAGATAAATGGAATTAAAATTTAGGCTGAGTCATTCATTAGTAAAAATAAAACCAAAAAAATACTTACCAAAACTTAAGCGATTTATATTTTCCAGAACAACCTCACCACCAGTTGCCTCTTTCAGCTTTTCTGTACTGGCCTGTACAAGTGCTGATTGGGACCAAATATAAAGAGTTTTCGCTGTGCCTTTGAATTGTTCCATTTTTTCGACTTTTATTTATTATTGAAAACGTTTATGTACCAAATTTTTACAAGCTGTTACCAAAAATTTTGTACTGTAATTATTTTTCTTTCCAGCTGATTTTGACATTTCAGCTTGGAGCGATGATGCCATGATTTTATAAAAATTTCCGAACTGGTTTCGAGCATCGGATATGAAGTATATTCTAATAAGCTTAAATACTTCTTTCCTAACTAATATTTATACTTTTGGAAGCCCGTATTTTATTTACTTTATTATATGTGGATTGTTCCTTTTTAAATGAGTACATTTAAATAGTTTTATTGGATTGTGTTTGCTGAAGTACTTTCTAAGCTACTACCTCGTTGAACACACTCCGCAATATTCGACTAGCTGTCAAAAATTTCGAACTGTCAAAAGTGACGTGCCACTTGACTGGCTTGACTGGCAACTCTCTTTTTTGACTCCATCTTGGACCGCGTGGACATCTTTTCCGAAAGGTTAGTGAATTTTTAGTGAAAAAGTGCGTAAAAAATATCAATTTCTTACAAAATATGTTTCAAAAAAGTGCACTAACCACTAACTATTTGTTAACGAAGGAATCTGTACTAAATATTTGTGAATTTTACAGGCAACCAAGACAAGCTTAAATATGACAAACTCAAAGGGTTATCGTCGCGGCACCCGAGACATGTTCTCGCGTCCCTTCCGTAAGCATGGTACTATCCCACTTTCCACTTATATGCGCGTCTTCAAAATTGGTGATATTGTGGACATTAAAGGTCATGGTGCTGTGCAAAAGGGTATGCCCTACAAAGCTTACCACGGCAAAACTGGTCGTGTGTACAACGTTACCCCACATGCCGTTGGTGTCATTGTAAACAAACGTGTGCGCGGTAAGATCCTACCTAAGCGTATCAATGTACGCATTGAACATGTGCACCACTCCAAGTGCCGTGAGGATTTCCTGCGTCGCGTGAAGGAGAACGAGCTTAAGCTTAAGGAAGCCAAGGCTAAGGGTGTATACGTGAACCTGAAACGTCAGCCAAAGGCACCAAAGCCAGCGCATTTCGTCAAACAGATTGCAGAGCCTATCCAATTGGCACCAATTCCATATGAATTCATTGCTTAAGCTGGGTTTCTTAATATATGTAAAAGCTGTTTTTTAGAAAGTACGAAAAAATAAATAGATTCTAATTCTATAGAAAATAACTTTGTTTGCTCTTGTGAATACTTGTTAAGCATGATATAGAAAATCCAAGGAAATATAAGATTTTTTTTTTAAATTAATTGGAAGGATTATGTATATAAATGAATGTGCACGATTGTGAATCCAAAAGACTGGCACATTGGGTAGATGGATCTGTGAATTGAACTCAAGAGAAAGAAAAAAATCAATGTTTTTATATAGTCAAAAATATAAATGTTTAGACTGGAAGAAGTCGGCGAAAACTATATCTGCATAATAGTTTGGGAATTTTAACGAATTTGCGCTTTCTTAAGTTTTGCGAATAATGAAGGAAATTTTTTTTAAATCTTTGTTAATTTTAGCTAAAATATTGAACCACCATAAAAATCATAGAAATAAACACTTTAAACTACCTGCTGATCTAAACGGGGTTCAAATTTTTTTTATAAAATTAATAGTAAAACATTTATTATTGATGACGCTTCAGATGGGAAATAGATTGCGAGGTGACTGCTATAATTTCTACCAGAAAGTCGATAACGCATTCCTGTTTTTACCATAAGGCCCATTTAGATAATCATCCCTGCCGAATAGACAATCTTTATCAAAGAAGCAACACTGGTTTTTGACGTTTACAAATTTCAGGCAAATTTTCAGCAACGTGCTTTTCAGTTTTTCGCGCACACGTCTGCAATTCTATTAATATTACGACTTAACCGTCGGAAAACCAAGGAATTTGGTTTGGATTTTATTTAAAAAGAGAAATGAAAGGAAACTTAAAAGCAAAATTAACGAAGTTTAGTAAAGGTGCAGTAATACAAGTGAAACGCGGAAACAAACGAACTTTTAGTAGGCTGGCATATCGTGAACCTGTACAGCTGATAGCGGAGGTTAATCACTTTTCACTGTTACGTCCATAAAAGAAAACCTTTTAATTTTCGTATAGCTATAGCTCAAACGAAATACCTAGACGATTATCTATCGTTGTGAAATTGTTAAAATCGCTATAGATAAACATAAAATTGTGCAATAATGTCGTCAGTATATAGTGCCAAAACGGGGCTTTCATCCATACTCAAAACATATTCCCCAGCAGAACGAGAAAGAGCCAAAAATATTGCTATTAACAAGGTTCGTTTTGAAATGCCAAAGCAAAAGGGTATATTGGAAGCGGTCGAAGCAGTAAATGCACATAATAACTTTCAACCCTTGAATGAATTTGTGGCATTTCTAAAGGAAACTGAGTTGAGTGTAAGTTAAGAAGAAAAATTAAATAAAATTGCGTTTTAATTATATATATTTTTTTTAAAAATAAAACATTTGTAGGACGCGGAATTTCTACGTGTAATGACTGATGCTCACAAGCTAATAAACGATCTCAGTCCAAAATTTACAAATCTTGTAGAAGCACTTATCTCAGTGCCATGGGCAAAAAGAGAACCCGCAGCTATACAAGCTTACATTGAATTTTACATCGATATTATGGTGGCACATAACAAGTATGTGCAATTTGGTATACCCAAATTAATTTCTTTATGGATACCAGCTGATGCTGATGTGGCACACTGGCCAAATGGCACGCCCATAGACAACGTCAAGACGGAATTAGAGGCTATACATGATTTACTTAATCGCATTTTAACCGCAATCCCAATGAGCTTTGAAGTGGTGCTAGAAGCTATTGAAAATAGGTTTCCATATTACAAGAAATCTACACATGTTATAGCGGGTTATGTTCACAATATGCTTTGGTTAATCGAATATAAACCAATATTTGTAGAATTTGTGATGCAATTGTTAATGCAAAAGTAAGTTTAAATATTTTCATCTATTTAATAATAAAAGTAATAAAAATCCTTTTTTTTTTTTGTTTCACAGGCTCGTAATACTTGATGTCAACGCACCCAGAAGTGAAATTGAAGAAACAGAGGGCGATGATGATGAGGAATTGGAAGAAGAGAATGAAGATGCGGAAATTTTCGAAATGGATGATTGTAAAAAGGCAGAAGAAGACGATTTATTGCCCATGAAACATGTCATAGCGCACACGCTCGACGTTTGCATGGAGAAAATGTTAAATTTCTTAGATGCAAAAAATCCAAATATACTCAATGCTAGCGTTGAACAAAGGCTGGAAATGAACAAATTTTGGAAAGTGTTGCTTGCGGCATTTGATAATGTGATACTGCCTTGTCACAACACGCACCATGTGCAGTTCTTAGTATTTTACTATTGTAGTTTTAAGGTGAATTTGTGTTAACTTTTTCTTCAACGAGCAGCATACCAATGTATACTTTTATTTACAGCATACCATCGCAGAGGCTTTTCTAACATCGCTATGGGATAAAATTAAGAATCCAAACGTATCTGCTGTCATACGACAGGCTGCTGTTGGTTATATGGCTAGCTTCTTGGCGCGTGGCAAGTTTGTGCCACTACCGTAAGCACCACTAATACAACTCTTAAAAAATTATATTAATTTGTTTTTCAACATTTTCAGCACTCTTAAGTACTATCTCAAAGAGCTCTGTGATTGGGCACATCAGTATATACAACGCTGTGATCAATATCGTCAAAATGGTTCATTAAAGGCAAATATTGTCTTCTTTTCACTCTGTCAAGCTGTATTCTATGTTATAGCTTTTCGCAGTCGCGATCTAACGAGTGATAGAAAGAGTATGTTTTTGTATACACCATAAGCATATGTATAAACAATTAAATTAAACACATTTTCCATATTACAGGTTTACTTTTCCTGCAATCGCTGCAACTGTCCGCCATTGTAACATGCAACTTTAATCCGCTACGCGTATGTTTACCAGCTGTAGCCACTGCGTTCGCTGGTGTAACACGTGCCTATCAACTAGCCTATTGCCATGCGATTTTGGAACGTAATGCGCGTCGTAAGTTAGCAACGGTGTATGCAAATGAGACAGCTACACCAGAAGAGACACTGGACACCTTCTTTCCATTCGATCCATACTTGTTGAAAATGTAAGTTAATTTATTTCTATATATTTTAATTTGCTTTTCTATATATTATTTATTATTTTATACAGGTCCGAAAAGAAGATATCGACAAATTATCTGCAGTATCAGGCCAGCGAGGCTGAAGAGGCATCTATAGTGGCTACGCATATTTCACCGATGCAACGACGCAAGCGTGGTGATTCTGAGATGTGTGATGATATTGATGATTTCATTGTAGCCGATAAGCGGCAGAAGATTACAGATTTAGCGCGCAGTCAAGAGCGTGAGGCGCAATTCACATATGGACTTTCGCCAGGATTTCATATGTAATTTGAAAATGTGTTGGACTGATTGTGAGATAGTCAGATATGAAATTATTTTGACTGCTTGTATATTTAGCTTTTTTTATATTTATTCATAAGTGCGATGTAAGGGTATATAGTAGCATATTTACTATTATACAAAATGTAAATGAGTGTGGATACCAATGTTTGATTTGGTAAGTTTGTATGTTTTTGTAAAAAAAAAATACATAAGGTAAAGCTTTCAGCACTATCTATTTATATAGAATGATTAGATTTAACATATAGGAAAGTAGTTTTTAGATGCAATGGATATATGCATGTTTTTCTCTTCATATATTGATAATTTTGGTTTATTATACACATATTTACATACATACATAAATTATAGAAGAAGTTAACGTTATGTTATGCAACAATGAAATCAAAATAAAATGCTTACAATAAATGAATTATAGCCCTCTTATTAATCCTAAATCGTACACACGACTCGCTGCAGTCCATGTACCACCCGTAAATGTGAAATCCTTTGGCCGGAGGTATAAAATTTAAGTTCACAGTACTCACACCTAAATGGCTGCACACCCGTATGCAACCTCAGGTGCACGTTGAGTGACTTCTTCGTCGCATAGGTTTTGGCACAAACGATGCACACTTGTTTTGGCCGCTCTTCCCTTGCATGTGTTAATAGATGTTGTTTCAGTGTACTCTTCAGACCGAAGCGTTTCTCACACAGATGACATGCTTGCGTTCGTTCTCCTGTATGTACTACCAAATGACGCTGCAGGTCGCTCGACTTACTAAATTTACTTAAACATGTCGGACATTGATGGCATGTGGAAGTAATTGTCGTCTGCGCAAGCTTTCCTTTTCTTGTTATTACATTAAATTTGACAGCTTTGTTCGCAGTATTGCTTATTACTTCTGTCACAATTGCTTGAGCATTGATTAGCATTAATTTTTTGTCACTTTCAGTTTGATCCCTATTACCCGTATTCAATAATCGTTTCATATGTATTAACATATGTGTTTGGCATTGTGTTGGCGTCTTAAAAAATCGTGCACAATATGCACATTTGAAGCAACGTATTACGTTTGAGTTGCATATTTGCCTTGTACGTCGGTAAGCACCGTGATATAGACGTCGGTGATTGGTTAATACAGTTGAGTTGGCGAAAAGCCTGCAAACAATAAATTTTAATTGAGATCAAATAAAAATTAAAAATTAAATTATTATTAAATTAATTAAAATATTAAAAAAAAAAAAGTTCAATTGCGTTAATGTAGCAAATTTTACCTGTTGCATGTCTCACATTGCCATTTAGATGTTGCTAGTCTTGTATTCGTACATTGGACAGCAACATTTCCTCGCAATTTGTTGCCAAACTCAGGGGATAGATGATTGGCATAAACTTCAAGTGGTACTGGTAATAAATGTTGCAAATATTTCAAGTCCCAATCCGTTTGCTTATGTTTGTGGTATGCAAGTTTTCGACTTGATTTGAATATGCTTTTACATGACATACATTTATATTGCACACGTTGTGTAGAACTGTGCGTACTTTAACGGAATAACCCAGAAAATTAAAACATGTAAAAATTCATTTGAAAATTTGCTTTTATATACTTACATGACATGTTTGTCTAGCCTACACAAGGAGCCAAACGCTTGACCACAAACCGCACAGCAATAATGTTTCGTGAGTATGCCTAGTTTTTTATCAAAACGATGTATTTTTAAATGATTTTGCAATGGTACTTTACCGCTGAAAGCTCTTTCGCAAAACATGCATTTAAAGGAACGTCTTCTTGGTACCTTCGAGCAAGTTTCAATAACTTTATTCACAGTGCACTGAGCAGGTACATAACACTGTTTTACTTCCGAGCTTAAACCTGCTTTTACTCTCATAGCTTTTCCTGATGTTTCTTCTGAATTTTGTTGATTAGTAAGTATATGCGTTTTCGAGTTTAATTTTTCTTCTTCTAAAGATTCAACAGCCTCCACAAGATTCATGCCAATTTGAAATGATTTAATTTGGTTCAAGACGCTTATGGTCAAGGCTAAATCATCGTCCCCTTCGAAATTATTGAAATTTATATCAGCGTCACGTGTATGCACCCGATTTATGTGTCTATGCAGTGTGTGTTTTGAATTGTAAACTGATGAACACTGGTTGCAAGCAAATTTCGCCTTAAGCTCGTCTACACATTGGGGATGCACATTTTGTACATGATTGTGTAAATTACTTTTTTGGGAAAAACTGTTGCAGGGAAATGCAGTAAAAATTCGATGAGGCATACAATCGTAAAATACTAGACATAGCGTTTGAATTACCTTAAAGGACATTTAACACATTTGAACCGTTTGAAATCGGCATTATGTTGCGTTGCAAAGTGGCGTTGCATTGAAGCCTTTTGAGTAAAGCATTGGGTACATGCAGAGCACTTAAATTAAATAATTTGTACAATAATTAAACCGAATGGATATTTCTTTTATTTACCTGAAATGGTTTCTTTATTAAATGCACTACATTGTGCCGTTGTAGGTATGATGGCTTTACAAATTTTTTTCCACATATTTGGCATATGTAACGTCCAGCTTTGTGATTGGAAAGGCTTTGCTGTCCCTGTTTCTTGAAAATAATTGTTTCATTCATTATTTGTTAATGATGTACAATGCGAAATCATATAGTGTCAACACTCGTCATCGATATGCGATGTTTTTAGATTCCTTTAATGTAAATCAGAATCTTTTGGTTTTACTCAATTGTTTAAAACAAGTAATATTAAATATTAGAACAAAGAAAGCACAACAAAAGCCAAAACATAAATTCCAGATTACAGTTATCGAGATAGTAAACGACTAATGGAGTATTCACATTAGGCTTAGAAACATTTTTAGGTTATAAATCACATATAAAATATCAGCCTGGGATGGGTGATTAATTTTCAGGATTTGAGGAATAGAATGTGGAATGTCACAAACGTGACTTGGTTGGACAAAGAAGTTATCTTCGACATTCACTTTACCTCAAATTTTGAATAAATGAGAGTATCAGATGAATAAGTAATAGGAATTTTCAAGAGTTGTAAGGTTCTTTGCGCGTCGACAATATCGCATTAATAATAATGTTACGATTTTACTAAATCAACCTCGATGATTTTCTAAATCCTTCGGGTACGATCTCTGGATTGTTAAATAAAACTCGCCAAACTAAATTTGCAGTTTCTTTCGTAATAAAGATTTTATCTAATGTCCTTTATTTACTCCGTAATACACAATTCAATTACAAGGCACTTTACTAGCTACAATCACTTGCATCAACTTTCACAATTTACTCTACTTAAATGTAATTCCCAACGCGTTCACTTTACGACTTAACTGATGTTAACGCCAACGAGCTCACTTTGTAACTAACTTGACTTGCAGCTGAGTGTCGCCTTTATATAGCAGTCGGCTGCTCGCAGACGAAAGCGTAGAAGCATCGAATTGTTCGCTATGGAAGGTTCTTGTTTTATCGTTTCTAGAACGTACTAGTTATCGGCTTCTCTCTTTCATCTGACATTCGCCTCGCATTTTCGCAACAGTATTGTCACACCGCCGTTCTTTTTCGCGGACATTTTACAAATACACGCGTTATTTTGTTAAGTGTCGTTTTAATTTTTAATGCGTACAAAATTCAAGTTAAAAATATACATAAACAATTAAATATGTCATTATTCGTATTGGATGTCGCTGGCGACACCCATTTACTGGAACGTAAATCACATGGCACAGCTGCGGTTGAAAACAACCCGCAATGGCGTACTATGGAAGAAAATGTCCAGTCTGATAGACTAACACTAGAAAATGCAGAAGAGGTAGATGAGGTTGAAGATGATGTAGACTATTTTGGTAAGTTTCGTCTTTAAATACAAATATATCCAAGATTTTTCTATAAATAGCAGCATATCATTACAGGTTTACCACCGCTTAATATAGATATTTCGGAAATTATTAAGGAGGAACTTTCAAAACTAGCGAAACCAAAAAGCGAGCTAGAAGAAAAATTAGATAAACTAACAAATAGAATAGATGAAGTTATATTACAAATGAAGGAAGCCCCCATTAAGATTCCTAAAAGAGGCTGCAACAAAATGGATTTCTCCGATTACAATCCAACTACAGGAAAATTTGATATAGAGCATAAAATAAAAACCGATGTAGAGAAAGAAATGGCAAAATCTCAATTAGGACCCGATTTTGATAAAATGAAGGAGCATCCCTTTTTAAACAAGAAAAAACAACGTGAAATTAAAAGGGTAAGTCGCGGAAAATGGTATGAATTATAAATGATAAAAAAAAACAAGTGATGATATATTCGACATCTTAAGCCATAGCTGAATTGCTATGGTCGTTACCTAGGACATTGTTTGAAGAAGATTTCATAACTAAGACTCGAGCGTAAATGCCAGCGAAAAAATAGTTTCTCCCGTTGTAATCTTAGCAGTTGTGTCAGAGATTGTGATAATTGCTGTAAGGCCGACGGGACAATCATGTTTGCAATATTAGACTGTTAGCGGCTGTTTAGTTATATGCCGATAATTTAAATGTGAACGAACATTGTTACTTTTTTAATTTAATTTTTTGTTTGTTTATTTTTTATGAAACGCAAAGTTTTGCTAATCCATAAAATGAAATCTTCTTAGATGTCTTATGGTACACATTGATGACTTCTTTAGTAAACTGAAATGCTGGAAATATTAAGATTTCCTTAAGTTTTTTTTTTTTTTTAAGTTAATGAAGTTTCTTTGTTTTCAAAAAGGCTGAACGTTCGAAGACAAAGGGTGCAGGCTGGTACAATTTACCTGCGACAGAAAAGACGGAAGAAACTACGAATGAACTTAAAATTCTACAAATGCGTTCTGTATTAGATCCCAAGCATTTCTACAAGAAGAATGATCTAAAAGTCCTGCCCAAATATTTCCAAGTAAGTCATTATTCGACAAACAAGCCAAAGCAGCTTCTAATTATGTTTGTTCACCCTCAGATTGGAACTGTGCAACACTCGCCTTTGGACTACTACAATGAGCGAGGTACGCGCCACAAAAAGCGTTCGTTAGTGGATGATTTATTAGAAGACGAAACTGCGAAGAATTATACAAAACGAAAATTCAAAGAAGTAGTTGCGCGCCGTGAAAAGTATGCACACCGGAAAGCAATGCAGAAAATGAAAAAGCAAAAGAAAAATAAGTCTTAATATTTGTTATAGTTATTTTTTTATTTTTAAATATAATTAAATTAACAAGTTTTAAGATAAAACATCACTGCTTACTGTTTATCATTCACTAAACCTTTTGTTTCTAGCGTCCGCACAAGAGTTTCACCTAGCTGTCGATAACTTTTAGCGTATGCTGTATCCGCATATTTAATTACCGAAGGTATACCGTTATCACAACCTTCCGTAATATTTCCGTCCAGAGGAATGGATGCTAACACTTTGATGTCGATTTGTTTTGTGAAAATGTTGGTAACATTTTTAAAAATCTCCATTCGTGACTGACAATTCCCACATATGGCATGACCCATATTTTCCGCTAAACCCACAATCGGTACACCCAACTTTCGGTACATTTGTGCGCCACGTAGGGTGACTTCAAGCGCTGCCTTTTGTGGCGTACTAACCAATAAAACGCCGCTAATTGGTACGTTTTGCGCAAGAGAGAGATGTACATCGCCAGTGCCAGGTGGTGTATCGACAATTAGTATATCTATGGGAGCCCAAACTGCACCTTTTAAAAGCCTCTGCACAGCAGACATTACCAGTGGCCCACGCCAAATTATAGCATCGTTTTGTTTTGCAAGTAATCCCATTGATAAGCATTTAACTCCATAATTGACAGGTGGTATCATGAAATTCTGTTCATCTACCAAGGGCTCTTCATGTATATTCATCATAAGTGGTATAGATGGGCCAAAAATATCGGCATCCAATAAACCAACACGTTTCCCCATATTTGCGAGACTAACAGCAAGGTTTACTTTAATTATAGTTTATATGACAAGTTAACATTTCTCACTCATTTCATGTTTTTTTCTTACCAGCTACAGTAGATTTTCCTACACCGCCTTTTCCGGAAGCTACAACTACAATATCTGTTACGCCTGGCAAGGGCGCCCGTTTAGGTAAACCACGCGCCATAAGTTCTTGTTGCTTTGGTGTCGGATGTGTAGCTAGTGTGCGCTGGATATTAAATAATTTAATATCTTAAATACCATGTTTTACAAAATTAATGTACCTTACAAATCTGGAAAGATCTAAATCGCAACATTTTCCCTATTAAGAATAATCAAATCTAAAATTACAGACATAAACAAATACAGCTGACTTAAATTGGAGATCAGCGATAAGCGATATAATCCAAACAGCTGTCACTTCTTTAAATTCCGATAGCAAAAGCACAATAAAAGTGCGAGCTCTGTGAGTACAACGATAATTCAAAACCCAGTTCGAGTACCTTGTTCAGTCAAAACAGGTCGTTAAAATAAAAATTAAAACTACGAAGTGACAGTTGATGATATGAAAGTTTTGCCATTAATTGTCATGTCAGTGGCTTTTCGCGCTTACACAATACTCTTAATAAGTACCAAGTCAGATGTAGAGCAAAAACAGAGAGGTGGTTTAACCAGAGAACTTATCATAAGGAGAAAGTGGACTTTTATGGAATTCAAAACACTGTTAAATAACAGTGTACCACTAAGTTAACAGTAGCAGACAAGTGATTTTGTGTTAAAACCCCAAAAACACGTATGCAATTAATCTCTCTATGGTAATGTATACTTTGCTTTGGTCTTCTAACCAAGGAAATTCATTACAAGTGCGCTGAAAAGAACTTTTACTTAAATCATTAATAAAAAGTAAAATATTAAATATCAAACAAGAGATTAACAATTAATAAAAAAGTTAAATTTATTTTGAAAATTACTATAAATTTTCTGACCAATGGGGGTTTTCAGTTTCAATCACCTTTAAAGTTTTTCATTCAAATTGTGGCCAGCTGATATGAAATCAAATGAAATACAATTCCTCAAACTTTTCTTATCTGTAACAACAGTGTGGCAGCACTTTGTTACGATTTTCAATCAATTTCTTCTCTTCTGCACGAAACGACTGAAAAAATTCCTGTGAATATAATAAGAATTAAAAAATACGAATAAATATAATTATTTAACATTTTTAAATGCGAAACATTCAATTCAACGTTATACAGTTACTAAATTTGATTTGTATCTAATTAATTGCGAACAAGAACGAAGTTTTGCTAACGAATCGTGAGGTGAGTGTGTGTTTGTACGTATGATTTCGATGTTTTGTTGTAGCAGTAACAGTGGCAGAAGTTGAGTATCTAGCTGTGTAGACAAGTCAGACAGAAAGCAAAAAAAGGAAAAAAAAGCAGCCATATAGAATCATCGCCGTCGGTGAGGAGAAAACGGCGGGAGTGTAGAGTGAATTATAGGTACAAGGAACGGACGAACAATAGAAAACGAAATACGAGATTGTCAAGTTTTTGAAAAGCAAACGCGAATAAAGCAAGACATATACAAATCGATTAAATCAAATAGGCAAAAAAAAAAAATAAACGCAGGCAATGAAAAAATATATTTCAAACCAGGAAGAAAATTATAATACAGTAAATTTAGCAGTAAAGTGCCAAGTGTGTGTTGTGCACAAGATTGCATTGGTAGGCAAATAAGGATAAAATTGGAGATACTGTGTCAAAACAATTGTTAGTGAGATAACAAAGGCACAGCAAAAGTAGTTGCCCATAACAACATTGTCACAAGTGCAATTAAATTCAATTAAGCAATTTAAAGTTGTATTAATTCATATTCGTATGTACAAATGCATATACATATAATGATTTAGTTTGTTGTACATATTTTTGTTGTTGTATCTCAGGCTAAAATGAAAGCTCAAAAGGTTAAACGTCGTAGCAGGCCAAATTGTAAGTCTTTGTACTCTTTGTGATATCAACAAGCTAATTGCTTATTATTATATGTATTTATTATTATATTTTTATACTCTTTATATCATTTCTTTAATGTGCATACAAGAATTTCTACTTTGTCATTCTGTGCAACAGAAAAACAACGCAACGCATCAATTAGGCATTCGACGACGACAGTGTAGTGATTACTCGGTCACATTGTCTGGTGGAGCCATTATTAACATTATAGCCATAGTCAGCAGTGTAATCGACTCGGTAGCGACAGGCACGGGTGTAGTGCAACCACGAATACAAATCACACTTCATCACAACCCATGTTGTGAATATGTAATAGAAATGCAAGTGGCTGCATAAAAAGCATAAAAGCTGGTCTCCGTAGCAGTTGCTGTATTGCGAGCATGGAACTGGTCAGTGTATGCGTACAGCTTGTTGTCGCTTCACATTGCACATCATATGAGTGGAAAACCTAACTCGCTCATTATTTGTTGCACACAATGTATGAATGTTTGAACGTAGCATCAAATATGCAGGTGCTGCGACTACATTTATGCATGTACCAAATCTCTGTACCTATTCTCTTATAAACATAACGAAAACATCACATTTACAATTTAAACGCATACAAAAAAATGTAATCAACATTTCATACTACTTATGTATATAGAACTTTCTTTCATCGGCACTACGGTGACTAGCATGTTATTGATATGTGCCCACTTGTTATTGCACACTAATGCCTTTCATTTGTAGCTTATTTTTCGGTGTCCACGTTGCTATTATTTATTTTCTGGTTTACATTGGAGCACAGTTATGGGATATTTGACACACATATGTATGTATGTGCTCATGTATGGACTGTGATACGTGCATATATGTATGTGTAAATAAAGGTGGTGTACCTAATAAAGTGACGTGTTTGTGCTTTTATTAGGTAGGGCTTTGTTATTTAAACTCTGAATTTTTATTTCGTCTTCTGTTGCTGACATTTACTTTATAACCCGAAGCAAAATTGAAGAGAGTTCTTTTACGTTTATTAACTAATTTTTTTTTTTTAAGCTTTTAAAATAGGTTGTAGCAGTTACTCGCCACAAAAAATTGAATTTCCTATATGTAAATATATGCTTATGAGTTGTAGATCATTGGTTCACTGCTTAAGAATTGTAAAAATAAATTTGTACTACTTTTAAATTTAACATGTTTACACCAAATTATGTGTATATGTATTCTTAAATATGAGTTTTAAATAGATATTTATACAAACGTATTTTATGTATGTTGTGTATGCAGCTACATTGCACATGTGTTGATACGTTTGTATGCCTCCATCTATTTTTAAAGAAAAAGTTTTCCAAACATTGCTTGATGTTTTATACGGGAAAACCGAAGTATTATTTATTGAAAGTGCAATTATTCTGTTGGCACAAAACATTTTAGGTTATTGCCTTCATGAAGACTTATTAGCTTGTTTACATTATGCGTGTAGGGGAAGCACAATAGGCTAACAATATTCAAATGCATGCATATATGTATGGCAATTAAAAATTATTACTTTCGAGTTCGAAAACTCTTGTTTACATTTTTAATGAGTCAACCGTATTAATTTTTAAACGTATTTAACTAAGCTAGGAGATTTAAAAAGAAGTTTTGAGATCTTGCAAGATAATAATATTATTTACGTAAACTAAAGCTATAAATAGTAGTGAGTTAAATCGGGTGAACAATATATTTTTTAATTTTTATTTTTAAAACAATTTAATTGTGTGTCAAATAGCTACTTAATTTAATTTTTGTTTGATTGGAGTAATGTGTGGCCGTCTTCTAATTTTTTTAATTCAAATGCTGCTTACTGCGTGTTCTAATGGCTTGTGGTGTTCTCTTATACATACATACATACATATGTACCTATTAACCGTGCATACTTTTGTTCATAAATGATTTATTTTTAAAAGTAAACAATTTATAAATATACAAAAAGCAATGAATCACGTAATTATATTTTTAGCCAAGAAATATGTGCGTATAATGTGGCCAAAATTTTTGGAAAACGGAAATTTGGTTTTTTGTTTTATTAGTTCCCTTTTCCTTACGCCAGGATAATAAGAATTCTTTTGCACTTCGTTAATGCTAATCACCTTTCTCTGTTTACTCTGCTGTTACCCTTAACATTTTTTTTTTTAAATTTTTCAAATATATTCGGGAAATTTAAATGATGTTTTACTCTTTTTTCCAGGTATGGTTTTAGCCGCCAACGAATGGCTTAACAATAGCAATGATGAGCATAAGTCAACAACAGCAATCGCACCAACTACAACAACGGCAACAGCAACAAGTGCAACATCTAACACACCATCTGCTGCAGCAGGTAATCACGCGATAGCCGGCCAAACGCAAATTACAACAACGATCGACAGCACAAAGAATAACGCTATTGCAGCGATTTCCAATACAACAGCACCAACAACAACGGGCACTGCCAACGCAAATAACGAAATTATGTCCGAAAATATAAATAGTGAGACTAATGTGTCACAACAGCAAGTACTACAACAACAGCCGCAGCAGCAGCAGCAGCAAACACAGAAGCAACAAGAACAAATTACGGAACAACAGCTAAAAAGCAATTTAACCGAAATCTTGCCTGTAGCACCTGCTGATGTGAATGATGTGAAGAATGTAAAGGCCACACAAGAAATTGTTAACAATAATAGCGAAGTGTTGAACTGTGATACTTCAGCTGCTAATGCGTTTATAGTAAATATCAATAGCAATAGTACTACAACAAACATTAACACTAATAGCGCAGACATCGCCAATACAAATAATGCCAATCAAAGTATCAACAATACCAATACCAATGTATACTCCAATCCAAGTTCAAATGCGAGCACCCTACAATCGCCCATTGTACGTCAAGCGAAAGCGAACACCGTCACAGCTGGTACAGCGCTGCCACTCAGCAGTCCAATAACGCCTCAAGCCCTCAGCAGCGCCTTGCAATCGGTTATGAATGGTCAGACAGCTAAAGAGCTGAGCTCAGCGTTCGTTAGTGGTTTGGTGGACGTACAAACAAATATTGCAAATAATATCGGTAGTAACGCATTGCAGAATGTGTGTAGTAGCAGTAATGTCAATATCAATCTGGATACAACGGCCGATAATAATGGTCAAGCGAAAATTGTACTACTCTGCGAGGCCAACTCACATCCGTTCCAAACGCGCACCATTATCTTAACGCCGAACATCGAATGCAAAGTGGGGCGTCTGATAGCTAAGAGTAAAGCATCCGAATCAAACGCTATATTCGATTGTAAGGTACTATCACGCAATCATGCTGTGCTTTGGTACACAGATGAGGGTAAATTTTGGGTTAAAGACACAAAATCATCGAATGGTACATTTATCAATGAAAGCAAACTCGGTAATGAGGCGGCCGAATTACATTTCGGTGATATTGTCAAATTTGGTGTTGATGTGGTGGAAAATTCGCGCAAAGAGGTACATGGTTGTATTATTGCTTTTGTAAAGCTATACTTACCTGATGGACGCGAAGCGATATCAATCGATACATCATCTCAATGGTCACAGTACTCTGGTGAAGGTCGCATCAGTTACGAAGAGATGCATCGTTTGAATCTTTACATGCAAGAGGTGTCCCAGCGGGAGAAAGTGCTCAAATCGAAACTATTCAATATACAAAATGTTTTGGATGCGACGCGTAAGAATTCGGCCTTATGTTGGCAGTCACTTATTGCTGAGGATCAATTGCTGCATCGCATCAATACGCTGGAGAAGAAATTGCAGATTATGGAAAAGAATGTGCCAGAGAGCGTACTGCGAAATGAGGTAATTATACGCACATGCACATATATATATATATATATATATATACGTAGAGAGTAGATCTTTTAGAAATCTATATATGTGTACATATCTCACTGGGATCCACAAAAACAAAGAAATTTAATTTTAATTTGGTAAATCAACACAAGCGGATCATGGCGTTGACCACGCCTCGTTGGATCCGTGTGAAGTGTGAATGATGTAATCGAAATTTAACCAATATCTTTACGAGACGATAAGGCTTAGCTGCATCGCAAGACCCACTTTGTGAAGCCCCTGTCCCTTTGGTCCGAACTAGTGGGAACAGGTAGTTTCCTTGACCTTACGTTAGTAGACATCGTTGCATATTGATTGCTTCTAGGCGGAGGTGAGGAAACCGTTTCAACAACAACAAAAACACACGAAAAGACTAATACTCATTAAGTTTACACCCGGACTAAAAGGTACGACCAACAAGTCTCCTTTGGACATGCAAATTTACGTATAATTATCCCTTTCCTTGGTTAGGCTTTGTGGATATATTGTAGTTCATTTCACTCGCAGTAGCGTTTATATTTATATTTTTCTAAAAAAAAAAAATAAGGAATTAATATGAACCATTTTCCTACACAATTTTCCTCAAAGGTACTCAAACTGATCGAGGATAAAAACTCGTATCAACTCACAGCCAAAGAAGCCTTACGTAAAGTCTACGAAGAGCGTTGCGATGCACTGCAAATGCTCTCGAAAATGGAATTGGCCTATGCCAACTCCGATGGTGAATGTAAAATTTTACGCGATCAAATCATGAATACCAAACAATCACTACAGGATGTCAATACGCGTTTGCAACGTCTCGAAACCGATTATAATGAATATAAAGAGGAAGCGGAACGTAAGCAGCAAGAGATAAAAGAGCAAGAGGAACAGCGTTTGGCAGAGATGTCGGAAAAATTGCAGCAACGTGAATTGGAATGTGATGATTTGCGACGTCGTGTATCCGAATTCATGCTACAACATGCTGAAGTAGTCGATGAGGAGGAGAAACAGTTGCAATTGCAGGCCATTGAGAAGCTAGACGCTGTTATAGGCGATATGGATTTGGGTGAGGATGACGATGAAGATGATGACGATGATGATGTGGCGGACGAAAACGATATTAAAGCAGCGAAAGGCGATGAAGGTGATGGTGAACATAAGGAAGATGGTAATGAAAAGGATGGTGGCAAAAAAGCAATACGTTCGACAAAATTGAATGGTGTGGGCGTGAAAGGCGCGAAAAGCGTTGGCAGCAACAATGAAAGCGAGGTGAGTGACCGAGCTAACAAATGTATATATTTAAAATGGTTGTAAAATGTATTATTAAGAATTTCTTATTAAATTATGTTATTTTGCTTTTCAGGTTTTAAATACCTCCGCTAAATCCGACGTTGCTACAAACAGAAGCAAAGCTCAAGGTACTGCTAAGGAGTCGACAATCTTGAAATGGTTACAGAACTCCGATTTGAATCAAAAAGAAGGTTCCATTGATATTTTCAAGGCCATTTGTAATGAGTCGGATTCCAGCGACGAACAAGATCTCCCAATCATTGAGAATGATGCCATCATCGATAGCGGTATTGATACGAATACAGCCTCTGCTGAGGATATCAAATTGAAATACAAGAAATCGAAAAATAAATTACAAAACGTACAGACCATATTATGTCAATTGGTGGAGGCAGAAATGTCGTCGAAAGAGTGCTACAAATCACCTGGTGCTGATACAACTAATGAGCATAACAATGAAGTTGTTGTAGAAAATGAGGCTTTAACAGAGATACGAAGTGAAGGCGGTTGCGAACCCATGAATGGAGAACAGAAATTATTGCTGCTAAAGCGCAGTGTAGCCATGTTGAGCGAAGCGTACAAAGATATATGCGACAGTGGTAGTGAGCTGGAGTTACAAAAAGCAATACAGGATAATATAAAGGGGATATCACCACCACCTGCGAAAACAACATCATTATTGAATACCAGCAGTGCAGTGGGCAATAAGCTAATCACCCAGGAAACATTAAAGCCGCTTGCGGAAACTGTTGACGCAGCTGAGGCAGATGAATACGATCTAATTGCCGAACAGGAAACTACAGATAACGATGAGTTGCAAAGTGAAGAGTGTACAACAGTGACAACACCGTCCACAATCGTTTCACCACACGCTATGACAAACAAAGAAATGAGTTTAAGGGATGAAGTGCGTGCATATCAGGAGCAAATAAAAGAGTTGAACTCAAAACTAGAGCAAGTAGAGAGTGATGCGCAAAATACTTTGGAGATAATGCAAATTGAATGTGACACATTCAAAGAGAAGGTGGCGCAACTAAACAAAGTAGTACAAAAAGCGGTCGAGGAAAAACAGGAACTCGAACGTATGCTCGACGAACGTGCCGAAGCGATGGAAAAGCAGCAGCAGCGGGCGGTAGAACAAATTCTTGCGACAAACGCGACGTCAGCAGAAACAAAAGAGCCATTGCAGTTAACAGTCGCGCACGCAGCGAACATTGAACACGAAAAGCCAATAGAAAGCAGTCTCGATGAATTACGCACGCGGAAAACGGATACTAAGCTTATTGCGGACAGCACGCTAGATACCGATTTCGAAGCGCAGCTCAATGATGATTTGGCGGCCATAAATAGTAATGCCTTGCAGCGGGAAGAGGAGCTGATAGTGTATAAAGAACGCTTGGAGCGGACGCAAAATGACAATCTGCAGTTACGCAACGAAGTAGCAGCGCTGCTACTGAAAACGGGCACACAAGCGCAAACGCATATGGTTAAACAAATGCTGGCCTATGGCGCTGTTGTAGTGGCGATTATTATCTACTTTATTACAACGTATTTCTAAGTGCAGACATCAGTCTTTTCTTTTTGTCACACATGCGACTTGCTAGCCTGAAAAAATTAAAAAAAAAAAGCGTTCAGCGTACATAAAAAAGAACGCAAGACGATAAAGCGCAAAAATACGAGAGGAATAAGAACAAAGACTTGGTTTGCAAAATGTTGGAAAAAAATGGCTACACTTGATATCGCTGTACTGCGTACAAAAGCGTTCTCTATTATAGTTGAACTACCAGATAAAGGCTGCTGGTGGCGTCAAAAAAGTTATACACTTGGCGCAATGCGCAAAAACAACATCATATTCATAGTTGTAAAGTATGCAATTTGCTATTTGTAACTTCGTGTAATTTTCCAAAGCAGCAGCCAATTTTCCAGGCAATATATCAAGTTTTCCATAAAATTTTCTTACTGAGTGCGCGCTTTAACGATGTATCACATGGCCACACACACACACACACATATTTACATACATACATATAAAATTTAAAATGTTGAAAAAACAAAATAGCATCATTATTACTTATTGTAGATATTAGCAAACTTTTAGTTTGTAAAAAATCATATATAAATTGCCACAAATATATACTTATATAATATTATGTAGATAAGTGAGTTACGCAGATACATACATACAAAAAAAAAACACCAATATAATTGCAAAATTGACGCTAAACAAAAACATACAAAAAAATTAAAAACAATGTATAGCTTTAATGATAACATTAAAGCAAAAACAAGCTAAACGCCAACAAGTGATATGTGTAGTATTTACCTACATATGTATGTACATACATAACATTTACAATTAAATATGGATATGCGTAAATATGTGAAACAAAGAAAATATTATTTGTGCTATTAAACAAAAAACAAAACAAACAAAAAAAAAAAAAGAAAAAGAAAAACAAAATGTATGCGAATTGTGTGTACATGTGTGCATTTAAATTTATTGTGGCGTTTCATTTCCAAAAAGAAATATATAAAAAAAAAAAAGTAATTTGAAACGGAAAAACGACTGCAAATAATAAATAAATAGGTAATAATTCTAAGCCTCACTCCTCTACAAAATTTCTCTGCTGCTTGCTTGTTGGCTGTTAACTAATTGCTAACGCATACCATAGAATGTGTTTTGGCAATTAAGCGATTGTTGCATTTGTTTAAACTTAATTTAAATTATTGCATACGTACACTCACCAACAAATCTATATAGACATAAATATAAAATAAAATCGTACATATGTACATACATATAGCAAACACGCGTAAATTTTATATAGAAAAACAAAACACGTACATATGTATATCGTAATGGCTCTATTATGAAATCGCATAACACAATCACAAAATATATAAATATACATACATATATGCTTATTCTATATACTCTTATGGCGCTTATTTAACATTTATATTAACTTACATTCATATTTACATACTCGTATATATATATATACAAATAGAATACAAAATTTGATTATCTTTTGCATGGCTTAGAAGCAGAGAGAAAACTCGGTTTTATGCGGTACAAGTCAGTGATAGATACATTTGAGTTTTGTTACAACCCGGCTAAGAGGCAACAAATTGCTAAACTCGTCAAATGCGTATTTGCATTAGCCGTGCCTATAATTAAAAGTAACTTATTTTAACACACTTAAATTTTTATTTAATACATCAAAAAGCAAGATATTTTTGGCTATTTCCTGATTTGCTAAAAACTTTAAAACCTTTGAAAGTAATTCTAAATTGTTACATCTAAAATTAAATTAAATTAAAAATTAAGTTTGTTATTTTCCATAAAAATGTTATTTTCCATAATGAAAATTAATTAATGCTTGTAAATTTTTTGTATCTTCAGATGATTTCAATAATAGAATATTAGCTATTGTTTTGTTAACAAATTTTATTTGTGAATTGCTACACCGCTGAGCACAAGGTTTTTTTTTTGTTGGTATGTAGTAAAGCAGCTGCTTTTTCTCCAAACGAAAATTTACAAATTGTGTGCTCTACATTAATTATTGATTATTAATAACTACTGCTATTATCATTATTATTATTATTTAAATTGTTAGTTTTTAGTTAAAATTATTATTGTCATAATTTGTAATATTATAATTTTATATACATATATTAAAAGAAAAAAAAAACAATGAAATATGCGTAACCGGCGTTATATCTATGTGAAATTATTTAATTGATTGCGTATATTATTTAGTATGTTTTAATTAGTATATATGCTAATTAATGTAATACACAACAGATAAATCATGCATCCTTTTGAAAACGAAATACGAAATATAGAAGATAAAGAATCACGAATAAAAAATGGAAATGAAAATTCTTATAAAATTGAGATGTTTTAATATACAGGCATTATTTTTCCTATTATTGTTATTGTATTAAATAAGACATTATTCTAATAGTTAATTTTTAGGTACAGCCTTAGTTGAATGCATATAGTCAGTCATGATAATTTCTACAAAAAGTCACAGCCAGTTAGCATGTGCCACAATAACAATTCCATAATCATTTTTGATTTATATAAATTTATATAATTATATATTCGAAGACAAGTGCAAAACAATGCACGGAATGAGCAGAACACTTTGGCATTTGGCGTAGAACTTGCAATTGTGGCTAGACAATGCGACGTTATTAGATTCTCCCGTCTCTGCCCATTCCGATCTACTACATTGGTTATCTGTACTGCGGCCTCTGTTTGTAGAGCCGCGGGAAAACAAAATTGACAGCGCATCAACTTTTTGCGGTGAGCGCGTCTCACATGTTTTGCATTTTTTATTATTCATCTAGCATTTTTCTTGTTTTGTTCTTACTTTGAGTTCGTTGTATGTAACCCTGACGCAAGCTTTATATCTGTTGATATAGCGTATTGTGGGTGGCGATTATGATAGCTAGTGCATGTGATAATTGCGAAATAATAAATGCCTGGTACAATCGCTGATTTCAATTGCAATAACACGCATCTATTGTTTGGAGAAAACAATAAATTTATCATGAAATATTGTTTGTACATAGTTTCTCTCACTTGTGTGTTGCTGCTGTTGTAACAACCAAAATATTCTAATTTGTTTGATGTTGTGTGATGTTTTGTAAGAGATAACTCTTAGACGGTTCAAAATTTGCTTAGTCCCGTTTAAAAATTTTTTGTGGCCATTGGAGTTTAGTCGCCTCTTATGATAGGAATGGCTTTGGTCTTAATAAATTTAACAATTGCAGGCTGCGTTAAACTGCAACAAACAAATAAAAAAATATTAATAACCAATGAAAGAGACGTTGCAGTGTCAATGACAATTGTATTTTGAATGCTGGGGTGTGTTGTATCTCCATACATATTGTATTTATAATCCGCTTAATGCGCACTTTTGCTCCAACGTATTTACTTAAAGAAACCCATCCTAAACTGTGTAATGCTTTTATTCATATGCCGCCTAAAATTTACTTTTTCTATCATATCCGGCTAAGACACACCTTTTCCGTTGCGTGACAATTATCAATTACCTAGAGTCACTCTGTTGGACAAAGCCAGATATGTTGCTTAAAGTATACGACTTTATACGGAAGAAGCAAAATGAAACAAATTTGCACGGATAAAAATTTGAATACAAGTAAATAACAGTATTTTTATTTTTTTAGCGCGCAAGAACATATTCTTTATTTATATTATTTATCAATTCAGTATTTAATATAAACAAAATCAATGAGCTCGGCACAGTTTCGATAAATAATCGGTTAAAACCATTGCCCCATTCACAATCCATAACACAGAGTGGCACACAAGTTTGCGAGCATTCAAGATTAGTTAACAAACATGTCTTTTAGACATTTTATTTTTTCTAGAATGTTATTTAAGAGTTTTTTCTCTATTTGCGCTTTATGAAATTATAAACATCAAATAAATTAATAATAAAGCTGAAAAAACTCAAATAAGTCTTTGCTTTGCTAGGGTGTGTACATGTTATTCACGAAGCAATTTTTAATTGAAACCTGTCTCTTTCTTCTTCTTCTTATTAAATTGTAACGACAACTAATTTTTGCATTGCTCTGTCATCGGTACAATTGTGAGTTGTCAGTTTCGTTTTTTCTCTGATGTATATGAGTTCTTATTACGGCGGATTTGCTACATATTTAAAAAAAAAGATTGTGATTTTATCTTACAACCGCCACGAAGTGCAATAACTCATTGTGTAGTGTCTTCTGGTGATTGACAAAAATTTTTGAAAAAATATACAAACTCAACGTAATTATTTACCAATAGATATATTTATGTTGTTCATTTATCAGCAGCTTATTACATATATGTAAATGGGCGTGTGATCAGCCAACCTGCCTTCGTTCTTTTTTAAGTGCCACTGTGTGAGTGTTCAGCTTTGAACTTTTGTGTTAAATGGAAAAGCCGTAATATTGCAGCAATTCAATTGCAATAGCGGATATGTTGCAATATATTCGGAAAGGAATAAAAGTAAAATACGAAATCCAATAAATTCTGTGCTACTAAAACAAAGAGCAATAAAAACTGTTCTAATACGGACAATTCCCAATTGTATTTGGAATTTGTTAGTAGTTAAAGGGAAAGAGGTGTAGGAAAACCGACAAGAGATTGAAAAAGAAAAGAAAAATAATAGAAGGAAGGAAGGGAAAGTAGGGGCGCAAAACGGTGGCAGTAACTAGCGAATTCTTAATTTTAAGGGTTGCCAACCAGTTACAGCTAGGAAGTACATTGACGTTTGTACATTAAATAGAATTTAACAGTTTGTGTTTTTTAATGCTTAATAAAAAAAGTATTTTATTTTATGAGATAGCTCAAAAGTATTTACTTAGTTTCTGCGTTTCTAGTATGTGAATTTAAGGATTTATTTTGTGAGGGATTACAAAATTTATGAAAGGCACTCCTGTAATTTTAATTGAAGTTAAGTTTTGTGCAGAAAATAATTGAAATTTATATTTGTTAAAGAAAAGACGAAGTGAAACAAGAATTTAGCAACGAACGACGGTAATAATAAGCGCGACTGCGGCGACGACTACCATCTTCCTGCCAGCGTACGATAACAATTTCCGCTTAAGCCGGTGAAAAAAATAATCAATGAGGTAAGCAAACACTCTACAAAACAAGGACTAGGCAACTATAAATTGCATTGAAAAAAAAATAAAATAGAATAAACTTTAGTTTGGGCAATGGAGTTAAAGAAACATTAATGGTTAAAATAATTTATTGGGAAATTCTTACTTAGGTATTAAGATCTAATTACGCGCATAAACAAATTATGTTTATTGAAACGAGTCATGCTCACCTCTCTTCTTAAAGAATAGTATTTTCCAATGCTTTTTCTTGTTATTTAGAAATTCAATAAAAAAAAGTGTTAGCACAAACTGAAAATAGGTTTAACTTAAAAAACGAAAACAAGTGCTGCATTTGTAAAAATATTTTAAATAAATTATATTCTAAAAAAAAAATATAATAAGAAATCATCACTTTGCATACAAGAGAATTTCCAAACCAACTAAATTATGCCAAATGCATTTCAACTTTTATTTACTTAACCCAAAAAAGACGTTATTTTAATTTATTTTCGCCGTTTGCCTAAGTGGCCAATTCTTTTGAATTTCAAATGCTTCGGGCATTTAACGCCATCGCTGACTGGTTTTCAGCACTTTATTGGCTTTTTTTTTGTGTATTTACCGCACAAACCTGAATCTTTTTTATTAAGCAACATTATAATTTTATATTTGTGTATTCTTCATACAAATGTATGTAGAGAAGTGTGTGCATATGTATGTAGAATGTACTGTAAAAGACATTTTAAATAACACATACGCGTGAAGAATTACTAAGATTTGGCAATATAATTAATGAGGGAAAACGCTGAAAAAATATAAATGTGCGTATGTATCTATTATGTATGTGTTTGTACATAACAAATGTGTTTAGTTACTTCAAAAGGAATCATTTAAGTATTAATAAAATCAAAAAAAGTATGAAATTCAATTTTTGTTCTATGTTTTTTTCTCATTTGTGCCTTTTAAATTCATTAAAAAAAATTACAGCTAATTTTTTTTATTATACATACATATGTACATAGGTATTTATTTATTATCAGCTTCTTCACTTAAATGATTATACTATTTACTTATGTATATACATAAATACGAACATGTTAGACATAGTATGTATGTATGTAGTATATTTATTTCTTCCTTTCTGCTTTAAGCACATTTTTTTTAACGCCATGCGTTGAGTTTATAAGCGTGTGATGATTCATAGTACACTTGAATATACAATTTGCCTTTTTAAATTCATATCCAATTGCAAAAAAAGGTATGCATGTATGTTTGTATGTATGTACATACATACAGATGTGCGCGAGTACTTAAGCGCGTGTGACTTTTGCCATATATCAGTTTTCATTTTATCTTCATAGTTACCTACTTCTAGATTTATATTTTGCACAAACAAGTTTTTGTTGTTTATTTTTTTTACTGACAGGGCTGCAGTTTTAATAAGATAAGAAAATATTTAAATATTTTTTTTTTTTATTTAATTTTAAACAATGTGTTTTTGCATTTTTTGCCGTAAAGTAATTTCGAATCATTCTTTGTAACTGTAAAAACTGTTAAATGTTTTGCGCGAGAAGTAAACAACATCGTCATACGTCCAGTGTTAATTTCACTGAAATAATAATCTTTGAAAAAAAGAAAGAGGAAGTTCGAATTATAAAGGTTTTTATAGAAGAAAAGAAAAAAATAATTTCTTGTCATGTATTGTTAGGTTCCATTGAAGTAAAACCTCTAAAAAAAACCAGTTTCAGTCCACGTGTTTCATTGATACCAATTTTTTTTTTCGAATCTCTTTATTGCTCATAAAGCGCATACATCAAAATTCACGCTTAATAAATATTTTTTCGAATTTTTGTTTGTTTTAATTTCAATTTAGTTCGTGCCACTGAACTTTTTAATAAACTTTCTCCTTGAACGCTAGTTTGGTCTCTATGAGCGTAAAGTCTTAATAATATTTAATTAAACGTGCTGCAGACATAAAATATACGAATCAACAAATATATACACATACATACATATATACGAGTAGAATCAATTTGGTAGGCATGCTTTTTTAATTGGCATTTCTTATAGGCAATTTAATTGTTGCCAACACATGATGACATACAGACATACAAATGCATGCGGGCATATTAAAAATATTTAAAAAACAACCGAAAATTTCAAAAAAAAAAAAATTTTCAAACAACCAGCAACTAAAAATATTATGGTACTGTTTAAAGTTATGTATCTAAATGATGATAAATGAAAATGAAAGTTCAATCGACAACAGCAAAAACAAAAAAAAAAAAGTTAAGAAAACAAATTGAAAAATAAATAGATGCCAACAGCTGTGCGGGTGTGTAGAAATGACCGCTTGCCAAAAATAAACATTCACATACAACCATAATATGTATATTGAAATGCATGCGTATGCATGTAGGTATGTATGTGCGTATAGTGAAAGATGTAATTTGAAATTAAATTAAAAATAAACAATCGAATGCACGAAAAAATCGCCTGACTCAATAACAAAGCCGCCCGCCCACTAATCGACGTCAGCCAACGCCAAAATCTCTCAGCCACACGTAGATTTGGCAATTTGCCTGTAAATAAACAATATTGCTGCAAATAAAGCATCGCTGCTTTGTCTACGAGTATAGGTACGACTGTTTATAGTACATTTAGACATACATACATATACCACATATGCAAATCTAGTGCTGTGTGGCTAGCTTGCTGGGAAATCTACAAAATTTAGAATTCATGTTTGGTCGACGCCATAGATCATCATAATTCATGAATTTTGAGCGAAAATTTTTTAATGAAAATATTTTTTACAAAATTTTTTTTTTCTTTCTCAGGCCATACAACCTAGATTTGATAAAAAAATAAAACTTTAGTTGAAAATTTTTATAGATGAAAAAATTAATTTTTTCAAAAAAATCGAAATTTATTTGGCATTTATGTTGAAATTTTGAACCTAATTTTTCTTATAGCACAATAAATCCGCATTATATAATATATGAAAAAAATTAAGAAATTTATGAATTTTGTATAATTTCCTGCTTTTGTTTTAAATATTAAAAATAAATAATATAATGTTTAATTTTAATAATAATATAAT